ACTCGGATACCTTCTCTGGGAGGCGTTCGGCATCTTCTTTGGAGGAGAGGCTCTGTCCCAAGGGGTTTAGGCAGCCCAAAGCCAGGCGATTTGGGATGCCCGGAGTCTAAAGAATCCTGGAGAAAAGGCACCCGTGGGATTTAGGAACTGTAAGGTGGTCGTGGATTAGGGCCTGAGGGGTTTGGGGATTTTGGAGCAACAGGGAATCATGGACCTTAAGGATCAACAAGCCCAGGGGCACTAGGTGCCCCCATCTAAGGGATTTGAGGTCCTCAGAACAAGGGACTTTGATCCTAAGTGGGTTATGGGTGCCCACTACTGTGGATAATGAACCAAGGGTCTGTAGGATTGGGTGCATCCAGCTGAGGGTCTGTTGGACCGAGAGGTTTAGGATTTACCAGGTAAAAATTAGATACCCACGCTCAAGAAATTTGAGTGCCTCTGGCCAAAGGGGTTTGTGAGCCACAGGTCCAGGGGCTTTAAACACAAGGAGTAATAGAATGACAGAATGGTTTGGGTTGGAAGGGTCCTTAGAGACCATCTAGTTCCAACACCCCCAGCTGTGGGCAGGGACATCTTCCATTAGACCAGGTTGCTCAGAGCCCCATCCAACTGGCTGGAATACTTCCAGGGATGGAGCTTCCACAGCTTCTCTGGGCAACCTGTTCCAGCTGGACAAAGTATCTCCATCCTCCACTACAGCTGACTGAGGAATACTATGGCCAGAGTGGTTTAGGCCACTCATTCCAGGCAATTAGGCACCAGGCTCTTGAAAGGCATTCAGGGTCTTCAGCTTAGGTGGTCGGGAGCTTTTGGTCCAAGGGTCTTACGAACAAGAGCCCTAAGGGATTAGGTGCCTCCAGGCCAAGGATTTCAGTACCCTGAAGTACACAATTTGGAATCCTCCATGGCTGAAAGAGTCAGGCACTGTCTGCCCAAGTGATTTAGGAAGAAGAGGCCAAAGGATTTGGGATCCATTGGGGAGGGTGAAGATGCAGGGCTCACGAGATCTAGGCAAGCAAGCCCAAGGGGACTGGGCACCGAGAGGTTTTGGGATTTCAGAGCTCCTGGCCCAGGTGGTTGGGGATCTTGATGTCCAAAGAGGTTAGATGTCTCTAGCCAAGAAGGATTAGACAACTTCTGCCTGAAGCTCAGACCCTGCTGAGCAGTGGGGCCAGCCCACAGGCTCCCTGCCAGCCCTAGCTGTCAGGATCACCCCGCCCTGCCCAGGGAGGGGCTCTGGCAGGGGCCAGGCAGGCCCTGGAGTCCTGCCAGCCCCCACTGGGCACAAAGCCAGAGCCCCAGGTGACAGCAGGGCCAAGCTCAGCAGTCCTGCCTCACTCTGTCCTGGCTGCCCACCCGAGCCTTCCTGCAGAGCTAGCCACTGCCGTGCTCGGGATGTTCCTCTCTAGGGAGCCAAGCCACTTATGGCCATGTTTGTCCTTTCTACCCGGGGTGATCCTGCTTCCCACTTGATGGGCACCTCCAACTCCTTGAGAGCCAAGGTGGACAGACTTTGGCCCTGTTCCACCTCCTCCATCCTGTCCCTGCCCCAAGAATCCCTGCCACCACCCAGCTGTGCTGAGGCAGCTCCACAGGCAGACAGGCATCCCCATTGCCCAGCTGGCTGCTGGTTATCTCCAGCACCAGCTAGACATCACACCCAGCAGCCCAACATACCCAGGGCAGAGGAGGGAGCCACATTTCCTCCTCCAGGGAAGGCTGAGGATTTTGCAGCCGTATGTTCCCACTTCCCCACCAATGTCGGCAGAATCTTTGCCTGGCCCCAGCAGACACATGAACCCCCAGGAATTGGGGCAGGATCAGGAACTGAAATCCTGTATGGCCCCAACAGACATACGGAATCACCATCACTCTCAACACACAACAAGCAGCCCAGCACTAAAAAAACCCAAGACATACACACAAGAAATTTCTGAGACATCAAAATGAAAACCAGACCAGTAACTCTTAAAAATGGGAACTCTCCATACTAAAGATGTTCCTTTTTTTCATTCATTAACTGCCTTATTTTAGTGATTTCCATTCAGCAATAGATCAATTCTTTATAAAATGCAATAGAAAGGGGTAAAAATAAAGGCAACAGCTATTTACAGAACCAACAGGGAGAGTACCGAAACGCCTCTAGACTTCTTCACTTCTTCTTGGGTGACTTCCGGGCGCTGGACTTGGCTCTGGGTTTCGACCGCTTTGCCTTCTTGGGTTTGGACACCTTCAGCGACTTGGCCTTAACAGTCTTTGGCTTCTTGGCTTTCTTCGGGCTGGACCTCGACTTCTTCCTGGCTTTCCTGGTGGCAGATTTGGGCTTCTTTGCTGGTGACTTGGCTTTCCTGGACCTAGCTCTTTTCCGGGGTGAAGTGGATCTCCTGGCGGCCTTCTTCCTCTTCTTGGCCGGGGACTTCTTCGCCTTGCTGGCCTTGGCCAGGCGGAAAGAGCCGGAGGCACCGACCCCTTTGGCCTGCTTGAGGACTCCAGCGGTGAGCAGGCGCTTAATGGCGAGCCTGATCTGGACGTCGGCGTTCTGGCCCACCTTGTAGTGGCTCTTCACGTACTTCTGGATGGACTGC